GGAGCTGGTAATCTTGGGTCCTTCTACCTGTTCAGCAGTTACCGGCCCCTTTTCCTCAGCTCTATAACACCGGCCCTTGTAATGAGCAGCCTGGAGTTTTTAGGGTCTTAGTATTGCTGGGTATTCAGAGGTTTTTGGGTTGCAGGATACCAGAAAGAACAAGGAGAGGACAGGGGTCTTCCCTGGCAGCAATGGCAACGGGTCCTAATGAGAGCGTAGAAAGATATTCTTGAGCAGAGAGCAGCCAGGATAAGCCTATGTCTCTGAGGGCACAGTCGCACTAGATGCAGTGCGTTCCGGCCCGATTTTTGGCTGGAACGCACTGCCTCGCATTGCGGCCGGCTTTACTTTTTAGTGGGGTAGGAGGGGGCGTGGCGGGCCGTTCGAGTGAATGGCGCCGTAGCCACGCCCTCCGGCCACAAAGCGAGCCGCCGCATGGGATCGCGAGTTGCATTGTGCCTTTGTCTGGCCCTGTGCGATGCGATCAAAATAGTGCTTGTAGCATTTTGATCGGACCGCAGGCACAATGTGCCTTGCGATCCTGTGCGGCTGGAGGGCGTGGCTACGGGCCACTGCATCTCGTGTGACTGAGCCCTGAGCAGTTTTGGTACTTGTAGTGCACCAGCTGGCTTCTCTAAAGTAAAAAAAATCTTACAGTATCCAAATGGCAGCTCCCCTGACGCTCCTCGGTAAGCGGATCCTTCCAGTTCGGCCTCTTGGAGCCCCCAGCACATGCCACATGCTGATGCCCAGGCCAGACATCTTGCAAACACAAAGGCCTCCTCCCAGGGGAGGGTTCTGGAGGGGTGCTCCCGAGTATTATCTTCCCCAGCCATACCAGAGTTGCCCTCCAGGGATTGGTCAGATATACTCGTATACACTGGGAGGTCAATTACCAGATTATGCTGGAGCCCATCCCGGCGACAGGGGGCGACTATCCTAGTACCAGGTTCAGGGACAACCTGCTGAACAATGGATGCATAGACTGACTACAGCAATAAACAGAGGACTGCAGAGGCGCTACACTAATGTTTCAGGCTTACCCAACTTAATATTTTTACTTCCATTGATGCCGAATGTATTGATGTCATTCCTTCATTCATCGTGTGCTGAACTCTCTCTCATTCTTTGTCAGGTTGGTAATGCTGTGCCCCCGCCACTATCCAAAGCCATTGGTTTAGAGGTGAAGGCCTGCGTGATGGCAAGGCTTAAAGAGGAAGAAACAGGTTGGTGTCTTTGTCACTCCTAAAAATAAGACTTGTACCCCCATTGGAGGGCTCGTGATGGCTGTACCCCCAGAGATCAGGTTTTGGTATGACTTTCCCAATGAGTGGCGATTAATTAGAATATAGGGTTTTAAAGCACCTAACCCCCCTCCCACCGATAATCTGTAGATCAATGTTCCCCTGTATGATGCCTTGTGCGTAGGATGTTCTGCATCCTCTATTGGCAGCCAATATGATTGTTAGACTGGACACTCACTAACTCCAGCCCAAACCACACAGGGGCCAATCATCTGTCAGCAATCACAGAATTGGTAACCATTTGTCCTCCATAATCATTCCTGGTAGATTTAAAGCACAAATACTCTTAACATTTACACCATCAGCCATGTAATACACATGTGCTGGTCTGTCGGCGTTCTCCATGTTTCCCTTACCGAGATCTTCAGAGCACCTTTCTGGCAATAAGATGATGCAATTCCAGCAAGATGCTCAGCAGATCTTACTGCATCCAGAATGACTAAAATGGGGCTACAGCCATCACGAGTCTGACCTTAGAGGGTAGGCTGGAGATGGGAGGAAGGGCGGGTGGCCTTGGTGGTAGGCTGGAGATGGGAAGGGGGTGGCATTGGAGGGTAGGCTGGAGATGGGAAGGGGCTGACTGTGGTGTTTAGCCTG